TTGTGTAAGTTATATGGGCCCTCCTGTTATAATCAAGTCTTAACTGCTATTGGCCCATTTGTGCATGAGATCACCCCTTATGCTGGCTTTGAGGATCAACCCCAACAATAATATGTGAGCTGTTATGCAGGTCCTGACCCTATGAAGAATTTGCCTCAGCAGATTTTGGTGCCTGCTGAGAACTCCCTTTATATGCCACTTTTGAAGCTTACTGGATCCTACTCTGATGTTGTCTGAAGCTGGCCACTGGGTGTACTCATTCTGGGCTTCTTGGAAGGAACTTTGGTGTAGACCTGTGTAAGATACTTGCTGTTACTTGCCCTTGGCAACTAGTTGGGAGTAACAAGTGACTCACAGTTTGTGGCTATCTCTGCCAAGCCCCAGTACACACATTCAGGACTAAGCTGTACATCAAGGCCAACTTTTAAGAGCACTGGGCCCAGGTATAGGCCAGCAAATGTCCCAAGGCACCAGAATAAGATTTGTCTTTGCCTGACTCTGCCTGCCAGCTACCTATAAGGCTCAGTCACTGAAATAACCTCTGGCTATACTCCTCAGAAGGGTGTAAACTCCACAGAGTGATCCAAGAGGGAGTCCAAAGGGTGTGGCTATTGCTTTCCCTGAGGCTGGTACCACAGGGAAAGGAATGCTCCACCCAAGAAAGATGGTATCTGTGGTATCAGATAATGACTAAGCACAGGGATCCTGGCAGCTATCCTTTCAACTCCCTCCTCAGAGCCACAAACACCAGATTCTCCTCTTGCAACTCTAGTCCACTCTGCCCTCCCTCAATGGATTATCAGGGTATATGTGAACAAAGTTTTGTATTTGGCCCATTTGGAGAGTATATGTGTCTCTAGTAGGCTCTTTCCTCACCCTGGTACACAGAAACTTTACTGCTTTTCACAGCCAGGTATTATGTGGGCGCCTCTTCCTGATTCTTATGCTCTGACCTGGGGAGCTTACCTTGTAATTTAGACCCAACACTTCTCAGGGGGCACCCCCACTGCTGAGATATCCCTACAGCACTTCAGCCACTGCCCTTAGGAGTGGAGCCACCCCTTTATGCCTTTCCACCCTTCCTACGAGTCTCAATGTGGCTTCTTCTGTAAGTCCTTGGTTTAAAACTCCTGTTCAAGTCATTTTCAGTTGTCTATTTAGAATGATTGTTCTATAACTTAGTTTTAATCTAGTTTAGTCCATGATGGAGGTGAATGTAGCTTCCACCTACTCTGACACCATCTTGGGTCCCTACATCTGTTTACTTTCAGTCTCTGTATATATTTCATTCTGATGTGGGTCTCTTGTAAACAGCATATTTAAGGGTCTTATTTTGTTACCCATTCAACCACCATTTGTCTTTTGATTGGAGCATTTAATCGATTTATATTTAAAATGATTATTGACAGGAACCTAATCAATAACATGAACAAGCAAGCAAAATATAATCAAAGACATTGAAATTGAGAACAAGTTGACAGTGACCAGAGGAAAGAGTGGAGGGGATTATATGAGAAAAGGGTTAAGGGTTGGTAGGAACAATTATAAAGGACACATGGACAATAACGGGGGGTGGGTGGAAACAGGAGAGGGGTGGGGGAAAGGCAGAAAACTGTACTTGAACAATAAAAAATGTTAAAAAATAAAATAAAATTATTATTGAAAGTAAGTATTTATTGCCATCTTATCATTTTGAACTAAGTTACTCTCTTTTCTTTCCTTTTCAAAAAAAAATACTGTTAACATTTCTTATCATAATTGTTAGGTGGTAATAAACTCCTTTAGCTTTACCTTTTTCTTGTCTGGAAAGTTCTTTATTTCACCTTAATTTTTAATGATAGCCTTGCTTGGTACACTAGTCTTGGTTGTAGATCCTTGCTTTTCATCACTTTAAATACTTCATGCCAATTCCTCTGGCCTAAAATATTTCTGTTGGGAAGTCATGTGACAGTCCTATGTAAGCTCCCTTACAGGTAGCTAACTGTTTTTCTCTTGCTGCCTTTAAAATTTTCTCATTGTCTTTAACTTTTGCCATTTTAATTATAATGTGTCTTGGTGTGGGCCTCTTTGGGTCCATCTTATTTGGGACTCTCTCTCCTTCCTGGACATGCATGTCTTTTTCCTTCACCATATTAAGAAAGTTTTCCATCATTACTTTTTCAAATAGGTTTTCAGTTTGTTGCTCTTTCTCCTCTTCTGGCAACCCATGATGCTAATGTTGGTACACTTGAAGTGGTACCAGAGACTCTTTAAACTTTCCTTCTCTGAAGCCTGTTTTCTTTATGCTGCTTGTGTTCAATGTTTTCTGATTACTTATCTTCCAATCACTGATTTGATCCTCTGCCTCATGTACTTTATTAATGATTTCCTGTAATGTATTCTTCACCTCAGTTATTGTAGTTTTCATTTCTTACTCTTCTTTTATGTTTTCTATCTCCATTTTTATGCTCTTTATCTCTTTGTTGAAGTTCTTACTGGGATCATTGAGCATCCTTGTAAAAAGTGTTTTGAATCCTGTGTCACGTATATTGTCTGCATTTTTTTTAAATTTTTTTCCTGGAGTTTTTTTCCTGTTCTTTCATTTGAAACATGTTTCTTTATCTCTTCATTTTGGTTGCCTCAATACATTTGTTTCTATGTATTAGGTAGGGCTGCTACAAATGTCAGTCTTGGTAGAATGGCCTTATGTAGGTGTTCTGAAGGGCTCAATGGTGCAAACACTCCAGTCACCTTATTTGGGCATTGCAGGTACATGCTTCCCCCACTCTGTATAGGCTGTGTGCACCATCCTGTTGTAGTTAAACCTTGATTGTTAGTAGCACATCAATGGGAAATATTTACCATCAGTCCTATTGGCTGCAAGGGCTGATCACAACTACTGTAAAGGAACTGCTGTGCAGGAGCCAACCCCACAGGTCAGAACTGGCCTCATTGTGGCTCTGATGACTACTGAATTTGCACCTTAAGTGTATAGTTTATGGATGTAGTTGGGTGGTGCTTCATCAGGGCTTGAAGTTTTCCACTGAGTGTGATGGCTCAGGTGCCACTGAGGAGATGCAGGCTAAGATCAGCTGCCCACTGTGGCCTATCTGGGGCCACTGGGCATGAGTTACAAAACTATCTTCAGATGGCTGCTAATTTTGCTGAGCTTGAAGGTGCCTGGGAAAGGCCAAACTGTGAACCAAGGCCAATTGCTGCTAGTTCTGAGCCTAGGGCCATTTAGCAGAAGGTCCAGAGCACCCCAAGGCCAGATACTACTTGTTTGAGAGATTTTAAGAAAGTCCACAGCATGAGCTAAGACAGGCAATTTGTGTACAAAAGCACATTAGGTAGGTCTGTACATTGGGTGAGGTGGGGTCTCAGGGAATTACCATAGCAGAGTGAACAGTGTTATCCAGTATAATGGAGGCTCAAATATGCCTTCTGGCTCCATGCAGGGAGGGCTTAGCAAAGAAACAATGGCCTCTGCTACCACTTCTGTCTGGGAGAATTCTGCCTTTCTATCCCTTGACAGACAATTCAGTTCCTCCCCATATATTCCTGGTGCCTTTTGAGCTGCTGACCCAGTGCTGGCACTCAAAGCAAATGAGTCCATGTAAATCCATGCACAGGCCTTTTAGGAGGAACACCTGGGACTTGAGCAGCCTCTGGTCCCACTCAGCCACAGTCCTTACTGGTTTTCACAGTCAGAAGTTATGGGGAATTCTCTTCCTGGCACTGGAACCCTGAACTGAGTAATCCACCATGAAACTGGGACCTCTCACTCCTCAGTAGGGACATCCACATCCAGATGTACCTCCTAATTTTTAACCACTGTACATGGACGTGGGATCAATCTATTCCACATTTCCACTCTTTCTACCAGCATCTATGTGGTTTTTTCTATGCATCCTTAGTTATAGGTTTTCTGTTCACCTATACTTCACACAGTTCTGAATGATGGTTGCCCTGTAGCGTAACTGTAATTTTGATGTGGATGTTGGAGGAATCCAGCACAGGGTTTACCTATGCAGCCACCTTGACTGGAAGTCTGCTCCAAGGTTTTTTCTTAGTGTGGATCTAATGGTAAATGATTAAATGCTGCAAAATATACTTGGCCAGACAATTATTTAGTATAATAATTTGCTACTTTATTTTTACTTAAATTATTTTTTAATCTTCTATACCTATTTGGAACTATACCTAAATGAAACTGTTCTTAATTGTGTGTGAAAGCTTTGGTATTGTATTTGATACTTGTCTGCTTCTCTAATTAAGTAAAAAATTTCCTGGAACTATTTATGCATTCTCTTTAGTAAGAAAGAAGTATCAGGTAAGCAACATTAGTGCATTCAAGAAAGAGCATTTCCCTTCATTGTATGTTGATTTTATGTTGAAACATACATCTTATGGATTTAAGAAGTTAATAAATATTTGCCTCTAAGCCATTGTTTTCTACAATTTGAAATTTACAAGCTTTATAAACCTACAAAAGGAGAAATACTAGGAAAAAAATTATCCTAGATATTTTGATTTACTCTACTTGATATAATGAGCACATTATATAAAATAAGCCATTGTTTTCTACAATTTGAAATTTACAAGCTTTATAAACCTACAAAAGGAGAAATACTAGGAAAAAAATTATCCTAGATATTTTTATTTACTCTACTTGATTAATGAGCACATTATATAAATGCAAAGAGTACCATAAAATGCATTTAAAATATATTTGAAACCCCTAGTTGATTGATATTTTAATAAAGTACAATATTCTGAAAGGCCTAGAAGTGTCTTTCAGAATGTTTAAAATTTACTTTGTTTTCATACCACCCTTTTGGTTTTTGTAGTTAATATTGTAACTTAAATACATTATTTTACATTTTTAAAATACAGGTATTACTAATTATTAATATTTAAATCATATAATAAAACATTTAAATATATATTTGATTCCTATCCTAATATAATAAGAATCTTTAGGAACTCTAACCATTTTCAGTCACTAAAATTTAACTAACCTCTTTATTTCTCAAGGTTTGGAGTTCATTTTCCAGCACTGATTTCTCTTCTGATAAAATCTGGAAATCATTTTCCATCCTTTTGTATTTCTAAAGAAAAATACCATAATTTTAGTAATAAAAAAAGCAAAAGTCTCAATATATAGAACTTATTAGATACTTAATGATTAAAGTAAGAAAGTCTTCATTACCTCATGAAAATAATAAACCATTGGCACTAATCTGTAATGTGAAGTTGTAATTGAGGTGGAAAGAGGCAAAAGAACTAGAAGTGACAATGAATTAAAGTTTAGAAGACTGAGGGGTACTACAGTTCAGTATTTATAAAGTGAAGTACAACTGAATGATAGTAAGTTAGTGAAATTTATATGTTTTACTACAACTTATCATTATATAGTAATACTATATAGTATATAACTGTATACTTCTAGAATACATCATTATATATTATGATATTAATATTAAATATGATATCATATAATAAGCTTATCATGTAACATTATATAATAAACATATTATCATGTAAATATAATGAAATGATATAAAATAAAAAATTTTATTTAATATATATGAAAATATTAGGAAAAGGGTTTTCAGCAACAAGTATAAAGGACACATGGACAAAACCAAGGACGATGGGATCAGGGATGGGAGTTGGGGATGGCTGGGGTAGGGGGACTTGTGGGGGACAAAATGGAGACAACTTTACTTGAACAAAACTAAAAAATATATATATTAAAAATGATTAACATTAACCAAGATCAGAGCAGAATTAAATGACATAGAGATTTAAAAAACAATTCAAAGGATCAATAAATCCAGGAGCTGGTTCTTTGAAAAGATAAACAAATTTCACAACTCTTTATTATTCTTAAGATTTTATTAATTTAGCCCCAGGGAAGATGGCCACATGATAGGTGGAAGTGGAGTCCACTTCCCCCTGTGCATGGGTGAAATACCTAGCCGTTCTTCTGAGGAACAGAGTAAACAGCCAATGGTATCCCAGCATATATGAAAACTGGAGGCCAAAAATTGTAGAGGACATTAAAAAATCAGATGGTAAGGAGAATGACTCAGGACAATAAGGTCCCTGCGACCAGCACAGGGACCAGCATGTGGACCAGGGCAGCTGTAGCCTCAGGCCTGGCACCCTCGGGGTCTGCTGGGGGATCCTTGTGAGAGAGCCAGGTCAACACCTCCCTCCCCTGCCAAACAAGATTTGATCAGCACCAGAAAGAACCTGGATGCTTAAAGTCACAGTGGGGGAGTAAGGAAGAAGTGGCAAACACACAGAGGCGGTGTGCACCCACTGAGATCGTGGACGCCAGCTGGGAAGAGTTGGGCTGTGACAGACCCTGATCCAGTCAGTCCCTGGTCTGCTTGGAAAGCTGGGCTGTGTGAGAGACCGGGCACTTGTTTGGAGCAGCAAGTTTGAAAAACAGGAATTTTTCAAGAGAGAGACAGAGAAGGTGCATCAGAAGCTGTTAGGGGAATTCTCTGCAGCAGCAGCCCCCACCTCCTGTGCCCCTACTCCCACCTAGAAGCAAGTTCATGCCTCCAGCCCAGGGGACAGTCTGCACCAGATCACATGCCCTGGCATCTGCCTGTCCACCCTCACACCCAAAGTCCCAGAAACAGTGCACACCTGACCCCTCCACCCAGAGGCACCTCCCAGCTGGCCCCTGTGCCCAGAGTCCTGCAGGGCCCACTGGCTGTCTAAGAGGAAGACGGACATGGCCCACAGAGGAGATCTGCAGGACTCAGGGAGTCAGCAATCCTCAGAAAGAATTAACTCAGTGGTGGGGCAAAACTACCCTGAAGGGGCACTGAGTCCCTAGCATCTAGGACAGCAAACAGTGAAAGGGGGTTTGTGAATTGCCCCTAATTGGTGCCTCTCAAGGACAGTACAACTAGTGGACTGAGGGCGTAGGCTGGGCACAGAAGGGCACTGGGGGACCAGCAGCAAACTGAGGAACTGGGCTGGAGGCTGGGCAACAGGAAAAGTGTGGCTCAGGAAGTGAAACCAATCCCTCCTCAGCCTGCTGCAGCCATGAAAACCAGCAGAACTGGCTTGGCTGGTTTAAAGCCAGCAGAACACTTTTTTAAAAAAATTAATTCCTTCTTCCTTCTTTCCTCTCTTCCTTTCTTTTTTTAATTCCTTTTCCTTACTTCCTTTTTTATTCCCACAAGTGAGACAATAAAACTTGGAGCTGTGAAAAGACTAGAATTAGACCCAAAGAGGAGTCATCCCAACAACTGAGAAAGTGAGACAAATTTCACTTTGCTACTCCAGAGAACTTGCAAGTTCTTGTATATTTGTATTATTACTTTTCATTATTCTTACATCTTTTATTTTATTAGTATTTTTGTATTTCTCTTTTTTCTATTTAGTCTTCTTCACTTGGTTTGTTAAATTGCATTGTTTGACTGTTATGAATGTTGCCATTACTATTGTAAACAATTGCTGTTCCATACTATTGTAAATACTATACACCACTCCTGAATTTTAGCTCACTTTACTGTTTCCTGGACTTTATTACTGTGATGGTTAACTCTGTTCTCTCACACACTACACCTATTTTCTATCCTTTACCGTCACTTTACCTCATAATCTGACACTCATAAGCTCACTGCTTTCTAGATCCAATTGACAATCCTTCCCTACCCCTAACAAGAGTCTTATTTCCACCTTTTCTAAAAAGTGGCTACTTCCATGAAATATCAGTGTTAACACTACATATGAAAAGAATCCTCTCTCTTCTCTATGGGTTGCTACTATAAATACCATAAAATATGCTGCCAATGTCTTAAAACATTTTTCCTTCCCACTCCAACTAATCACAAAAAAGAGAACCTGGGAGCTGTGAATACCAGTATACCTGCTGGAAAAGGAAAAATGCACCAACAAAGGAACCACCAACAGATAACAATGGAAGAAAGTGAAGGAGAGAGTAAAAGCCACACTAACTGCAATCCAGGACCAATCTGGAAATACAATGAAACAGTGGAGAAAGCACCCAGAAAAAACAACTGAACAACAGCAAGAGAGAAGCCTCAAAACCTTGGAAAGACAGAAGAACCAGCTACAACACAACCTGTCCAAACATGGACAACAGAATACAAGGTGTGTTGGGCAGAGTGAACCTCAGTTAACCAGCTAGAGGGAAAGACCCACCAAAGAAAGATCCAACAACAATCCAAACCCAAAGGCACCCAGAGAGCCAACATAATTGACAGCCCAAGACCAGCAACTTCAGGAAGTCAGGGAGACTGCACTAATGAATCTCACAGGTTTCCAACCATAGAAGTTCACACAATAAACCCAGGGAGTCAGAACATATCAATTTAAGAAGCAGAGGCTAACAAGAAGAGTCTCACAAACAATGGGAAGACAAAGAAACAATCCCAAAATGAAAGGAAAGGAGGAAGCCTCAGAAAGAATGCTACATGAAATAGAGGCAAGTCAACTATCAGATACTGAGTTCAAAGCAATGGTTATCAGGAAGCACAATGAGCTCACAGAGAATTACAAAAAAAAAATACAGGGGAACTACAATGAACTCACTGCAAACTATATCAACATGAAAAAAATAGAAACTATCACAAGGGCCAAGAAGAAATAAAGAATACAATTTCTGTACTGAAGAACAGAGTAGAATGAATCAAAAGTAGGCTAGATGAAGCAGAAGATCAGATCAGCAAGCTGGAGGACTACATAGAAAAAAGGGCTCAGCAGGGGCAAGGAAAGGAAAAAAGTCTCAGAAAGAATGAAGAATGGTTAAGGGAACTGCAGAACATCACGAAACATAATAATATGAATACAATAGGGATACCAGAAGGAGAAGAAGAAGAGCAAGGGATAGAAAACCTGTTTGAAAAAGGAATGATGGAAAATTTCCCTAATGTGATGAGAGAAAAAGTCACAAAAATCCAGGAAACACAGAGAGTCCCAAGCAAGAGGAACTCAAAGGGGCCCACTTCAAGACACATAATAATTAAAATGGCAAAATTCCAAGACATAGAGAGAATCTTAAAGGCACGAAGGGAGAAACAGGAAGTAACATACAAGGGAGCCCCTATAAGGCTAGCAGCTGACTTCTCAATGGAAATTCTCTAAGCCAGAAGAGAATAACAAGAAATATTCCAAGTAATGAGAACAAGAGGTCTGCAACCAAGGTTACATTACCCAGCAAGGCCCTCAATTAAGATGGAGTGCCACATAAAGAACTTCCAAGTTTAAAATAATACACCTTCCCCAAATCAACTCTGCAAGAGATGCTAAAGGGACTGCTTTAAGAAAAGGAAGGAAACAAGTGACAGAGAGATGAACACCAGTACAAAAAAATGGCAATGAATACATTCCTATCATAATAACTTTAAGTGTAAACAGATTAAATGCTCTAATCAAAAGACATAGATTAACTGAATGGATAAGAAAGCATGACCCACACATATGCTACCTACAAGAGACCCACATCAGGACAAAAGACCTACACAGACTGAAAGTGAAGGGCTAGAGATAAATTTTCCAAGCAAACAGGCAGGAGAAAAAAGCCAGGGTAGCAATATTCATGTCAGACAAAATAGACTTCAATAAACGGGCCATAAACAGACACCCAGAATGTCACTTCATAATTCTCAAGGTAAGAATCCACCAAGAAGGCATAAACATTGTAAATATATATGCATTCAACACAGGAGGACTCAAATACATGAAGAAAATCTTTGAAGACTTTAAGAAAGATATTGACAGCAACACAATTATGGTAGCGCATTTCAACACCCCACTGTCAAAATGGATATATCTTTGGAACAAAATATCAACACACATATGCAGCATTCAATAATGTCCTAGATCAAATGTACTTAACTGATATATATAGAGCCTTTCATCCCAAAGAAGCAAAACACATTCTTTTCAAATGTACATAGAACATTTTCAAATATAGACCACATGATAGGGCACAAAACAAGCCTCAACAAATTCAAGAAAATTGAAATCATATCAAGCATCTTCTCTGACCACAAGGGACTGAAACAAGAAACCAACCTCAAGGAAAAAATTCAAACATATGCAAACTCATGGAGAT